ATGGTTTATTAGCTTTGATTGACATAAGATTACTCATGGCATTAACTTAAGTGTAAAATTGGAACTCCATGATTGAAGCAACATGGTGTTAAAGTGACATCGAAGATTGTTATCATTTTCTACAGTAGTGCATAATAAATTTGTTATATTAATTTGTTACTAAAATGAAGAATTATTAGAGAAAGGAGAGAACTACTTCAGTTGGATAAGAAATCTTCCAAAAACAAAGACAAACATCAATATGGTATCCTTGCTCAATCTCTTTGCAAAAATGTTGGTGCTCTTGTCCTCTAGCGTAGAGATACACTAAAAAGTTCATCCTATTCCAAAAAATCAGACGGGAAAAGTCTTTAAAGAGCCTTGGATTTATCACCAACTACAACACTGCAACCCAGTTAAAAGTGTTCCTCTGAAAAGCAGTCCATAATCCATATTCTTTTGAGAACCAACATGAGAGTAAAAGATAAAACACCAGGAAGAAGAGGGAGAGGCCTACTCTTCCATAATCAGTTTGTCCGAAACCTCATCCAGTTTTGTTTATTATATACATGCCCCTTCTATACCCACCGTTGGGCCTCTGTATTAGTTGTGAGGAGGAGAGAGCTGATTCATATTCTTTGGATCTATTGAGTTTCATGTCCTAAGCTAGCGTATAGAATATGTGATGTAAGTAATAGATTCAACCATTTTATATCAACTTAAATTTTTTTGAAGAATTACTCATGTACTCTATTATTTCAATCTATACTCATGCCAAAGAGGTCTAAGTTTGAATTTGGTTCTCACTCCATTTATCTTCAAAATTGAAGTCCAGTAGTAAGTATGGGGGCTATACTTGGTCTATGCTTTCAGGTCAGGGAATCCTGCATATCAAGGAGACATGTTAAGAATATAAAACAAAATGATTCATCAGGCCATCTTGCATCAACTTTAGCTTTTATGCTATTTGAGCAGCCAATAAATTGTTTGATATGATATTATAGTAAAAAATGATGCATCACGCCATTTCACATCAATTGATATTCTTTGCATTTGTTGAGTTGACATCCTAAGTTAGCATATTTAGAGTATATGATATAAAAATAGATTTAACCATTTTCTATCAATTCAATTCTCTTTGAAGAATTATCCAAGTAGCATACTGTTTCAAACTATGTTCAGATCAAAGATATCCGTAGTTTCAATTTGGTTCTCACTCCATTGATCTTCAAAATTGAGTTCCAGCAGTAAGTATGGGGGCTTGTACTTGGTCTATGCTTTTAAGTTAGGTGTCTTGCATATCAAGGGGACATGTTAAGGATATAAGCAAATATAATGCATCAGGCCATTTTGCATCAATTTAAGCTTTTCTAATTGATCACCCAATAAATTTTTCACATGATATTATAGTGAAAAAATCTTGATTTCAATCATCTAGTCAGTCCCCTTGTATTATTCCTCATATTTTCCTTCCCCACTATTTGACTTTCAAGTTATGGAAGTCTTGCCCCCACTTTCAGGCCTTCAATCAGCTCATGACTTGCTTTTGTCTTGTAAACTTGGTATTGTCATTAGGTCTGAGTATACTTACTACACTAAAACTTCTGTGTACATGTCGAGGGACTCGATAAAATATTGTAGAAATGATACATTCGCCTTTTATATTGACTTAATCCTTGCAGAAATTGGTCAGCCAACTTCATTTCACTGTCTGCATATAATTTTATTGTGTTTTTTTCCCTTGATAATTTATTTCTTTTGTCTTGTAAACTTGCAGGGATATGCTTCCGTTGTATCCTAATCTACGGCTGGTTAGTTCAGTCTTTTATTAAATCTTATATTCTCTATTTTGTTTTTGTACTTTCTGAGCATGAGATCTCACATTGTACCCATCATTATGAGCTCTCCCTATTTTAGACACAAGTTGTGTGATGTTTGAATCCCACATGAAGATGTATGTGATTGTTGAGCTTAACACAAAGGCTCGCATCAAATGCAATCAACAATTTAGTCTCGAACTTTTGAGCCAGTTGTTTGGGTTCAAAAATTGTTGGAGAAGTGATGCTTGGTTTCGGAGCAACAAATGATATCGCAACATGCTCTAGTCCGGTGATTGCTCTGTGGGTGCAAATGCTGTTCATGGGTCAGGCTGGGTTGGGGCTGGGCCAGTTTCCTTAAGTGATAGGTTGAGTTGGTGATTCAGCCTAGTTCTGCCCAGCCTGGCTCATGTTGTTTTTCTTCTCAAAATAAAAGTATGTTTTTTTTAAAAATATATTACATATTTAAACTAAAAAAATACACAATCTAACAATTTCAATCCAACTTATTCTTTTTCATAAAAATTGTAATTTAATGTATCTAAAAATACATGTATATAAAATGTTCTTTTTTGTTTTTCAAACATCCATTTGAACTTAATTGCTAAATGTATATGTAAATAGTAAGCATACATAAGAATACGATAAAGTTGGTATACATTATATGTAGTTAGTAGATATATAAATAATATATATTTCATATTATATTTATTATTGGGTTGTGTTTGGCTGGGTTGGACTAGGATTAGTCAAACTCAATCTCACATTTTAGTTTTTGGCCCCTAATTTTGTTTGTCTCTCATAGATTTACGGGTTGACCTAGTGACCTTGGGCATCCAGGGCCAGTGAACAGGTCTATGCAATCTTAGATCTCTGAGCCTTGGTATATGATTTATGATAGTGAAGTATTACTTTAATGAGGGGATCAAGAATTTGATTGATGGATACTATAATATTCTAGTAACACATTTGAAGATATGTAATTGTTGTAAGTCTATATAGTAGTTCAAGTCACACAGTATTAACATTGTGAGCTTGAGTTTTTGATGGCTAATAATTTAGATTGCAAAGTTATTGAGTGACTGATGTTTGCCCTTAGAATTTTACAAGAGGAGCTTGCCTTTTTATTACTAGGTCAAATTGGGCTAGAAGGGATTTGAAGTAGTCAAGCTCAAGCTTGACCTTTTATTTCCCGGGACCTAATTTTTTAGTTGAAGCCTTACCCATGGGCTCATGGCATATGTTCAAGCCCTTAAATTTACAAGTTGAGTTGGCGAGCTTGGGGGGCCACAAGGCCAGTGGACAGGTCTAGACACTACCTTATATTTCTAAGCCTTGGCATATGATTTGTGATTGTAAAGTATAGCTTGATGAGAGTGTTAAGAATTTGAATGGTGAAAATTGTGATATTGTAATCCCACATTCTACATGTATATAATTATTGAGCTCTATATAATAGTTTAAATCACATTGTTCTAACTTGTTGAGCTTGAGTTTTTGAGGGCTAATAGTTTGGGTTCAATAGTTGAGTCAGAATTGTGTAGCCTTATTACAAGCCAGCAAGTGTTGCTAAGAAATTAGAAGTCATTCAATGCTGGTTTCTTTGGGGTGACTCGGGAGAGAATAGGTGATACCACTTGGTGGCATGGAATGTGATAAAGAGACCAATAAATGTGGGGGGTTGGGGTTTGAGATCTATGTTGGAGATGAACAAGGTGCCTCAAGGGAAGTGGGTGTGGTGTTTCATGAAGGAGAGAGATGCTCTTTAGAGGAGGGCCACAGGGGCTAAGTATGATATGATGGATAGAGGATAGTATTCCTGAGTGGTGGTGAGACCGCATGGAAGAGGGATGTGGAAAAAATTGTATATGGCAAATGACATGTTTCAAAAGTGCGTGAGCATTGCGAGTTAGGTTTCTGCAGATTTATGCTATTGCTCGATATAAACACATCTGTCAAAGAGGTTTTTGGTGAGGGTGAAGGCAGCAGGGAGTGGCACGTTGAAGTCTTGCGGAATCTCAACGATTGGAAATTAATGATATGAAGTGTTGTTGAGTATGCTGGAGTCACTTTCATTGAATGAGGATTATGATCAACCGATTTGGACTCTAAGTAAATTGGGACAATTCACTGTTAAGTCTTTCTATAGGTATCTTTCCCTTATAGACAGATGAAGGGCCCCCCGAACGGTAGCTTTCTTTGCATGGGAAGCAGGCATGGATTGGATTTTGGCTATTAAAAAGTAAAAAGGAGGGAAGGATTATGGTGAATCAGTGCTGTTTGTGTAAGAGGGCAGAGGAGACTTGCAACCACTCTTTTGGTGTCCTATTGCACACAGTTTGTGCTCAATGATATATGGTTTGCTAGGCGTTAATTGTGTTATGGCTGATACGGTGAAGGATGAACTATGGGCTTGGAAGGGATTAGTTAAGAGGAAAAACACTTTGGCGCTTATTCCACTAGCAATATTTTGGGTTTTGTGGAAAGGAAGAAGTAGAAGAGTTTTTGAAGGGGTAGAAGAGGGTATTGACAGAATCCGAGAGAGAGAGTTTCAAATCCTTGGTTTTTTTGGTTTTGGGTTAACTGTTGTATTACATGGAAGAACTTGTTGATATTCTTATTGTTTGTAAATAATTGTGTACATTGGTTTGTACTCCGTTGATGCCTACACTTAATTGTTTTTGAAATAAAAGTATATAAAATTGCTATAAGCACCAAAAGTGGGTGCCATCCATTTACAAAACATTTAGTTAATGCCTAGACTTAATGATACCTTTATACTTGTTATTACAAAAAAAAAGTATAGTCTTATTACAAGCCGAGCTTGATCTTATATCATTAGGTTGGGTTTGCTGGGTTTAGGAGCTGGATCCAGCTATGAAGGTCGGTCTTGGTGGAGGTGGTCGGTCTTGTGGTGGAGATAGCTGATTTGTGGTGGCTGGCGGCTGGACTATCATAGCCAGCTATGAAGACTTGACCATCTTTTTTATGTTTTTCTTGTTTCGACAATAAATACCGAATAAGATTTGTAAAAAAGTCTAGTGTTTTTCTACCAAGACTTTGGTACCATGTTAAGAATGATTTGGTATGCATTCTATTGATATTTAACCTTATATATGT